CTTTGTTATTATTCTCAGCCTTTGTCTTTATATCCTCCGTTCGTGTGGTAACGAGCTGGCTGTATGCCCTAAATGCCTAATTCACCTAATTTTCGGTACAGCCTTACGATTCCGGCCGCTACCACCGGCATGGATATATCTGTCCAGTACGTCACAGGACATACTGACAGCCTATAGGACCTGCAATGAAGTGAATATGTTCATTATATCTTTCAAGGATAATGAAAATGCATCACAATAACAAATACTTATTGTTTTTCTGAAATCATTCGTAGGTGTCCGCGCCACCTATCCCCACTCTACTCATCATTTCTTATCTCGCTCACACGAGAATTATGCAATACCTTGCACTATTCCATCATGCGTTTTACATATGTGCATTGTGTTATGTACAATTCAATATCATTTAAAAACTATTAAAAAATTACTTTAATGCTCTATACGGACACGGTCGCTCATAACTCACATATACCTATTTATATAATCTGTGTGAGCTAAGCCTATATTTACATTTATGTTTTACATATTTTATATTTATACAATTCAAACATATATTTACACTTATTATGATATCGTCGTCCGTAACAAATACTTTATTAAAAATTTTCTCATTAAACCTTTGCTGGTTGAAGATCCTGATAGACAGTTGCAATCCAGCGCAAAAGTGTACCAGGTCCCGTACAATATTCGGTTCATCACAAATTCTATAGGCTGCCAGTACCTATGTCCTGAGATATACTCAATAGATACATCCAGAACGTTGAATTGGCTGTATGGCCCACTTTCGGGAAAGTTAAGTATTTAGGGCATGCAGTCAGCTCGCTACCACATATTGAGGTGATATAAAGGACAAATATTGATAGGAAAATAAGGCAAATTCAGAATAATAGCAGTTCACGGTGACCGCAAGCAACCTGTTTTATACGCTGATATTTGATATTGTAAACTATTATTACACGGACACGATCTAAAAATAAATAATGTAAATTGTAATTAGTTATATAAATAACTAAAATAAAAAAAAAATAAATAATGTATCCAAATTCTAGTATAGATTTGAATTGTTTGTAAGACGTGTTTTAAGTGTACAGTTACACACTTGTTACATATTCTAGTTTAAAGATTGAGTAATATTTCAACACCTCAAAGTCAGATGAAAATGACCTTAAAATAAAGTATTTTCAACAAGGACTATAAATGTAAGGTTTTGGTAAGGGTGCTAGTGATGATTGAAAATGCCAACATTTATTGAGAACATAAGTTCCTTAATTAGCTCATCTCGTCCAAACTATTATGCAAATATAAATCACTCCACCCAAAATATGGTCCTTTCCATCGTGAAGTTACCACATGCTGCGCACCAGTCAGACCACACGTGTGCACCTGGCGCACTTTACTATTCGCTACAACCGCATCTCATACGTACACTGGTAAACACTGATGTTTCACCTGCCTAACATGTATAACAAGTCGTATTGATATAAAGTTACTTCTCAGTATAGTTTCGTTATTCGCATTTATTGTAACAACTATTAATTGTTCAACACCCTGCTGATCCAAATAAAAAAGCATGTTATATTAGTAAATGACAAGCAGTAATCTTCGTCTCGTGCAGTTTCCTAATTCTCATCAACTGCCACCCATACTGATCAATCCGTTTGCATAATAGAAACCTATTAACCGTATATGTGACGCTGCGATGCAGCTTTTAGTGCCGTCTCGGAGAGGGAGTGTATTAAACCAATTACTGTTATTGATACGTTTTATTGTACAAATGTCCAACTTAAAACATGTTTTCTTTTGTTTACGAGTCTCCACACACTTCAAACTTTCCGAGACTTTATACTTCATTATTTCATATTTTATAAATATGAAATATAGAAACAAAGTGTTACAACCACGTTGTTTTTATATTGTTGCTTGTATCAAGGAGTCAAGAACAAAGTATAAAGTTTATTTTTACTCTTCACAGTACCTTCACAACCAGAGGGAGTGCCACCTACAGAAGTGGAAGACAACCACTGTGTGAAACATTCTGAAATTTTGGCTGACTCCGGTTTCATGCTGCACTCGGCGCGGGAGGAAGATGTTTATTACGGAGTATTAAGTGAGCAGAATTCAGATCGCTCTGACAATGAATGTACTTCTATGGGCCGATTAAAAGAAGGTCAGGATGTGTGTTGTGTTGGGCCAACGGCTGAGAGTGACTTAAGCAGCTTAAAAATACACATACGCACTCACACGGACGAAAACCGTACAGGTGTAAGCTGTGTGTACAGTGCAACTTTACTGGGGCAGTTAAAAGAACACATGCGCACTCATATGAGTGAAAACCATATAAGTGTGAGGAATGTGAGTACAGCGCGTTTCAGTTGAGCAAATTAAAAAGACACATCCGTTCACATACAGGCGTAAAGCCATACAAGTGTGAGGTATGCCAGTATTGCGCATGTCAGCTAGGGCATTTAAAACGACACATGCGCATTCACACGGGCGAAAAACCTTATAGATGTGAGGCGTGCGAGTACAGTTCGTCTCGATTAGAGCATTTGAAAAAACACATGCGTACCCATACGGGCGAAAAACCGTATAGGTGTGAGGTGTGTAAATATAGTTCGTCTCGATTAGAGTATTTGAAAAAACACATGCGCATTCACACGGGCGAAAAACCGTACAGCTGTGGGTTGTGTGAGTACAGTGCATCACAATCGAGGCATTTAAAAGAACACATACGCACTCACACTGGCGAAAAACCGTACAGGTGTGAGCATTGTGAATACTGCGCATCTCAGCTAGGACATTTAAAAAGACACATGAGCATTCATACGAGCGAAAAACCATACAGGTGTGAGTAGTGTGAGTACAGTGCAGCACAATCGAGGCATTTAAAAGAACACATACGCACTCACACTGGCGAAAAACCGTACAGGTGTGAGCATTGTGAATACTGCGCATCTCAGCTAGGACATTTAAAAAGACACATGAGCATTCATACGAGCGAAAAACCATACAGGTGTGAGTAGTGTGAATACAGTGCATCACAATCGAGGCATTTAAAAGAACACATACGCACTCACACTGGCGAAAAACCGTACAGGTGTGAGCATTGTGAATACTGCGCATCTCAGCTAGGACATTTAAAAAGACACATGAGCATTCATACGAGCGAAAAACCATAAAGGTGTGAGTAGTGTGAGGGCAGTGCGTCACAACTGAGGCGTTCAAAAAGACATCCGCACTGCCACTGGTGAAAAACAGTAAAGGTGTGAGTACTGTGCATGTCAACTTGTACATTTCAAAAGACACATACACACTTATATTGGCCAAGTAGTGTGAGTACAGTTCACCTCAGCTAGTCCATTTATATAATCGTATGGGTGAAAAACCATACGGGTGGGAGCAATGTGTGTACAGCTCATCACGGCTAGTCGATCACGTGTGAGTATAATTACTTTTAAGTACACATGTGTACTCATATGGGCAAGAAACCTTATAAATGCGAATAGGGGGAACATAGTACATCTGGAAGGAGTAATGGAAGTGCACATGTCTATGCATTGTGAGTGTATTGTACATGAATTATGCAGTTTGAAAATACACTGGCGCACTTAACTAGTGAAATATATATACTACGAACGTTGCCAATACAGTGCACATCATTCAGACAATTTAAGAAGACACTTGCGCATTCATATATATTCGAGTTCTGGCGGCTCCGAAAAACATACCTTCCTTGGCGCTTACTTCGGCACTGGTCGAGATTAGCATAAATAATTCCTTTCTAATAATTCATACATCTTTTTTACTGGGAAGCAATTCAAAAAATTGGATTCATTTTGGCATTGCAGCTACATGTCTATCACCTCCATTCAAATTTTAATTGCGCCACTGGATAGCTAAAGCATCAAAGAATTCGTTACACTACGCGAGAAGTTTGACGTGGCGCCCGGGCAGATGGGGGGCGGGGGGGTCGCGATTTTGAGGTGATTTTGCTGCGTTTAAAATTTCAGTTTAGCATAATTTTAGACTCGATGAAGCTACGATGTTCGTTTAAGTTTCAATCGCTAGCTCTCGTCAAAATCTATCGATTGTACACATAGAACATTAATGTAAAATATTTACAGTGCATATGTATATATGATGTTAAAATAAAAAAATATATATAATCCTAAATACATAATGTCAACCTGTAAGCATCTAAAAGCCAAATCCAAAGACAGAGATTGTATACGTTTGGAAAGGGCTTCTCGAGAGCAATCGACTGATACAGATAAAACACCATATGACATTATGAAGAAACGCTGGGAACGTAAAAGAATGAGCGGATCACTACACCTACTACACTACGCCACTACGTTTCCAGCTGGGGCGACTGAGGCTACGCAAGTGGATGATGTGACCGCTTCTATATCGACCCTGGACTGTATAGACAATTATCAGCTAACACCGATTATTAAAGACACATTTAGCAGCAGCTAGTTCACGTTCCTTTATTATGTTTATAACTACACAAAATCTTAAGGACTTCTTAGCATTAAAAAATAATTACAAATGTATTTTATAAATTGAATAATAACAATTAAGTCAATTAAAACGTTTGAAAATAAATAATATAATATACATTTATTTTATTATTTATTAAAATTCTGAAAAAAAAGTATGTAGGAGCGTCATCTGTTTATTTATTAAAGAAGTGTCATTTTGCACAATTATGACATCAATAATAGGTGTCACTTTCACATATTTGTATAAGTACTTATTGAATGCTTAAATTGAATACTCCAGAATAAATCCAAGAGTTTCATTTAATGTTTTAGGAAAAACCAAAAAGAAAATATAAATGATATACAAGTGCATTGAAATAGATTTAAAAACCTTTAAAAGTGATGAAACAAAAATGCCACAAAATGAAGAAATGGTATTAAAATATAATAAGAATCATAATTAATATTTTATTATAATTTAACCATAAAAAGAATATAATATCAAAACAAAGTCAACATCACGTGGAGCCACCAGGCGGTTACCCATCCGAGTACCGACCGCGCTCGAAGCTGCTTAACTTCGGTGATCGGACGAGAACGGCCGGTCTATCGCCTAACAGCAAACAATTAGTAACAGACAAAAATTATACAATTATTGCTGTCAAACAACTAGATTTAAGATGCGTATTACCGACACGATTGTATTGCTGTCGCTAGGGCACTGGTCGTTCACTTACGCGTATATAAAGTATGGAAATTAGCGACACTCGCAGTCGCGGAAGCAATCGGTACTAATTTACTAACGTCAAAGTAAATTAGTCGCCAAACGTCATCGAGTTTTTTCCACTGTATTTCGTCAGTACCATAGCTTAAAACTTTTTGAATTTTGAATTATATTGTCTATAGTATTGTGTAGCTAGTAGCAAAAATATATTGCCTATTGTATATATTGTAGTTGACTATGCCTTTGCATTTAATGTGTTTTAAACTGCTTAAACTATTACACTTAAAGTTCAAAAAAAAAATAGTGAATACTAAAATTGATAAATACTACTCTACGTAAATAAATATTTATATATGAACATAGGTAAATAAACAAATATTTATGTACATAGGTAAATAAATATATATTTACGGTGTGGTATGGACGTTGGCAAACGAGTTTATAAAAATGTTAACTAAAGCAGCAGCGATCAGCATTCTGCGTTGCGGACACTTTTTTTCGTGTAGCTCCTCCGCCCAGGGCTGAGTGTAACGCGCGATAAGGAACTTCGTTTATTATCGTTTAGTGATCGGGCAATTGGAAATTTACGTAAGTATAAAAAGATTATATGAACTTTATGAGGCAAGAGCTTATAATAATTGTGAAACTTTTACGGAAAATGTTAGAAATTATGTAATAATATTTAAACTTGTTTGCCTGGCAGCCAAAGCCAAATACGTGAACAATTAAATAAAAAATAGTAAAAAGGCAAAGAAAGCGACCAGAGGAGTCGTAATGAGCGGGAACGACAAAAATATAGACGACGACATTGACTTTGCACTGTTCTTTATTATTACGAGAATGTGTTAGGATCTATGGTATCGGTTCAAATTCAAATGGGTGCATTCAGAAAAGGTAAAAACATTTAATTCGTTGGGAGTGGAGAAAACGTCTGACCCTCATGGTATTTCTGTTACAATTATAAACTCTATCATTGACTAGTGTTTATTTTTAGTAAATATTTAGACATTGGTATGTTTCCCGATTTGTTGAAGAAGAAAAAACAGTTATTCCATTATTTAAAGGCGGTAGTACATCGAATCTCACAAACTTTAAAACTGTATCTGTACTGTCGACACTAAGTAAAATCTTTGGAAAACTGATTTTAAGTCAATTACTAGTACATTTTCACACTAATAATTTAATGTACAAAAAAACAATTCTGATTTACCCGGGTTCACTCAACAATCGACGCTGGTGTTGAGCTTTTCAACATACTTTTGGAGCCTGGGAGAATTCGCGGGATGCAGTTGAAGTATTTTGCGATCTCTCACAAGGTTTTCGATTGTGTAAAATCACGAAACTTTTACCGGGAAACTGCGATATTATGGAGTGACGGGGCGGGCACTTGGACTTCTGAAGTCGTATTAAAGTAACTGGGTACAGAGAATTGATGTCAATGACAAGAGGTCGTCTGGCTCTGTGATCCACATGGAGGTGCCACAGTGATCAATCCTTGGTCCCTTTTTGTTTTTAATCTGTAGTAACTATTATTGCAGCCTTACTGGAAATTTTCGTGAGATAGCAGTTTGCAGATGAATCAACATTGTTATTTAAATTGAAAAGATAATTCGCTTAAGAGGATGTAAACATTGCTATCTGGAAAGTAAAGAAATGGTTTACTGTGAATAACCTACTTCATAATGGAAAGAAAACGAAATGTATAAATATTACGCTTCCAAATGTAACCCTTAGATCCGGAACTATTTTAGTACGAAACCAGGAATTAGATTTGGTTATATTTTTGTATTCCTGGGTATTACTCTTGAAAAAAGACTTCAATGGGGTCCTCACATTGATCAGTCTGCGAAAAGGCTTAGCTCTACTACGTATGCAGAAAAAAAATACGAAATTTGTTAGATGTAGAAACAGCGAGACTAATTTATTTTGGTTGTTTTCTTAGCCTGATGTCTTATAGAGTTTATTCCAGGGACATGCCGCAGATATACAAAGAATTATCGTGCTGCAGAAGTGGGCCATTTGTGAAACTCACAAACGGACCTGAAGCATCTCTAAGGAATGAATTTAAATAAATTAGGATCCTAATTTTGACATCTCAGTTAATACCCTATGGAATCGATCATACATCTTTCTTGGAATAACTTTTTTTAAAATCTCTTTATAACAACTTTTCCAAAGAAACCATAGTCATCGGTCTCTGCGAAAAATAGCCCAGAACTTATAAACGTACGAAGTACAACCCTAGTGCTTAGTAACACAATTCACGCGTCTTAAGCCGTACATTCTGTCATCCGAGGTTCACACGCGGCGGGCGACGGCAGGCAGTGTCTAGTGAGTCCGTCGCATGCCCGATAAACATTAAGTTTACTATATTGACATTTTATAAACTAAGATTATGTGTAATTAATATTGAAGTGTTTAATAACAACGCCTTTCACTGCTATCGAATATGCAAACATGATTTGATGTTGGGGAGTCTACAATATTTATAAATTTAAGGGAGCATTTATATTTTTGAACTGAATTTTTTTATAATTATACTTTCTTTTTATTTTCTTATAAAAAAATATAAAAATATTTTCATGTGGAAATATAATTTCTTTTTTTATATATAGAATAATTGTTTCTTATTTCATTTACCATAAGTCTATATTATCGTTTTCAAACATAATACAGTGGTTGATAGTACTAATAGCTTTAATGTTGTTGAAGTGAGTGTTAATGATACAGAGAATGACGTAAATTTAATACGGATATCATGTATAGAGATAATAAAATTGATTGTATTTATATTTAATTCAGGGCTTGCGCTGCGCTTCATATTTTTCGGTAGTAAATAAATTATATGAAAATGAATATAAATGTTACTCAGACTGCCAATAGATGTCAAAACCATACTAATTAATATAAACAGTTTTTATTTATAAATCATGAAATTTTAATTTATGGTACAGCAATTAGTTTGAATATCCAAATAAACCACTGATATATTGTTTTAAATATTCCCTTCTGTCGGCTGTCCTCATGACTTCTTGGCTCTTTTTTTATTCAAATATATTAACATTTATAATTGTTAAATTATCCCAAGTAATGATGCTGAGATATACATTCCAACAACGTAATTTATGGATAAGTTTAATAAAAGCAAGTGACAATAATTTTAAAACGTGTGCCTATACAATTATTTGTATAGGCACACGTTTGATATTATTATCAAAATCAGAAAAAAAAAATGCACAATTAACATGGAAGAAATATTGGAAAATATAAATTATTAATATATCTATTTAAAATTTAAAGATTCTATTATATAATTTAAAAAAAACAATGTAACAATTTTTATCAAGTTATCTCCATATAATGTAAACCTTCATAATGATTTTTTTTAAAGAGTTTGTTGGCATATCCTCCAACGAATTTTTCGTAGAATTTTGTCCCATAAAATTAATAAAGCTTATTGAAAACAAAAGTGACGTTTTAATCTTATATAGATTACAGTAAAGTTAATTTGATATAGAAATGTATTTAAAAAATGTACAGTATTGACATACTCTTCATTTTAAAAATGTTAAAGTTATTCAAGAGATCTTAGTAGGCTCTTGGGAATTTTTGTAATGATTCTTGTGGGGAATGATTATTAAATGTTGGCCACACCACTCAGTATATCTATTAGCTCTTGCGGTCGATCACCTTGATCGTGATCGACCTTACATCAAAATGGCACATCCAACCGCGCATAAAGTACAGAGATTACATTATTTGTCAGTGATGCCATTGAAGCATACTTGAAGTAATTCGACATATTTTTATATTTCTTGCTTATGTTTTTGAATTTACCTAATGTAACAATATTTTTATAAGATATTACATTTTTCAGCATTTCGTATCGCAGCAAAATTTCATAAAATAAAAAATTAAATACCTACAATGGGCGAAGGGCTAAGTTTAAACAAGATTTTTAATTTGAAGGTAATATTGTTGGCTTTTTATTTAAAACATAGAAAATAAATTTAGCATACTTTTACACGTTTTTCGTATGCGTTACTATATTTTACTGTAAACGTAATGGCAACACTTAACTTAGCATAAATAAAGTAGACTAAGTAGCGTTGGCGTTTTGGATTCGGAGCTGTGCCACTGTGCTGGCAGCACGAGCCATGGCTGGTAGCGTTGTTTCGTTGCTGCTGGTAAACAGACTTACGCGAATAGCTGCGGCGTTATGATTCCGCTGACCGCGCGTGCGCCGCAGGGGCCGGGAGAGGAGGCCTAGCGGAGCCCTGCGAGCCTCCGCCCCACGTCGACCCGCGAGATGAGGTTTGCGTCGTATTGCGAATGACGGTGTAATAGTCACCGGCTTAGTAACTGTATGGTTTTAGCTAACGTGCATTCTGATTGCATTGAAACTTTGCCGTGAAAGTGGATAGCCATGTATTTATGGCTATTAAAAACAAGCATATTGAATAATGTTTCGAGCAGATACCTTCAATTTTTTATATAGTATTTTAATATGTAATGTGCTTATTTGGTGTTTCATATTATATTGTCGAAAAGTACGAATTAATATCGTATCGGACTACTATTATGTAACCAGGGTTCACTTGTCCGCTCGCTGGGTGTTACGCGTTATGTAACTGTGTAAAAGAAATGTATGTATGAAATTCAAGAAATAGGCTAAAAGCATTGCAAACGATTTCACTATCGTCAGCTCAGAGTGTAAACCTGCTAAGTCCATTATCGGTCGTTGCGACGTTTTTCATACCATTCGAAAGTGTTAAAAAAACTACACAATCGAGAAAAATAGCCACTGTTAGTTTTCGTTTGAGATGATCGAAAACGCGCGATGAGTAAACCTGTCAAATGCATCATTCCAAAAGTCCGCGG